GCAGTACTGATAGTTAAACATTTGTCATTACCAGTAGAACCAACGAAGCAAAAAGTGACAGAGATTGGTGTCCGCGCCTCCATTCCGTAAAATTCATGATAATTCTCAACATGGTATTCGATGCGCCGTTGAGGGCCATATCGAGGACCATTATGCACATTGTCCCCACTCTACAGTGAGCATGCACTCCAAGTCCTCAAATGTCTATCGGTAAAAATTGCGAGAAAAATAGCGCCGGGAAAATTGTGATGTCCAAGAAGCAACCAAAATCTGCAAATTATTCTGATCCTATCAATATTCAGAAACATTTATGATTTTTGAGCGAAAATATGCACTCGACCCGTTTCGATGTAAATATTCGCACCTGCAAATACCTCATCAATAGTTAAAAAAAGCAAACTATCCTCTATTAAAGAATATTCCTTTTTCCAGCGAGCAATTTGAAGTACTATAACTGTTCCAAATACTGTGTACATCACTGCTCAGTGACTCCAAAATTGAATTTTCTGTCAAAACTAGATGAGTCATACCCAAGTTATATTGGTCACAAGCTACTCAAACACCCGACGTAGAATTTCCCCGAAGAGGCCCAAGTTGTCCAGATGGCGTATCAATCGGTCACTTACTTTCAAAGTTCTGACCCCACTGACCACCTGTGCCACGCGCTGACATTGTTACCTGTGGCTGGGGAACGATTACGGCCGTATTGGAAGCTTCTCAAAGAACTTCTGCGTATCCCCAAGGTGACGGCTACGATTCGTGCGGAGGCGCAGACTCTCCTCACACAACTCAGTACAGCTGCAAATGTCGGAGTCGTGTGGGCTGGGTGGAAAAAACGCACTCAGCAGTTCCTCAAAGCCTACCACACACAACTCTTGGCCCAGAGGACCCACACTATGGATGTAGCCGAGAGGGAGTGATCGTGTGCACAACGGGCTCATAAGTCGGGTTGGATGATAGCCGACCATCCCCACACCTCAAAGGTGGCATACGAATCGGTTATAGCTGAGTGGCGACAGCATCAGAACGACCTCCAGTTTCACTTTCACGCCTCCCAAAACGAAGTGTCGACTGCACACTTCTTTCGTCCGCCTAAAAGGCGACTATTTAATGTGCCCATTGGAGAGGTACAACTACAAGACTTTAGCTACACGACCGATCCGACTCTCATCCACGAAGCCTTCCATGGTCGGTGGAGTGAGATCATGTGTGAAGGCGACAATTGTCCCCCGTCGCGATGGTCTCGGCGCCGCTTTCTGCGTCTTATCACCAAACGGCTCACGGAGGACGAGCGTGTTGAGTTGGACCGTCCGATCTCGCGTGAGGAGCTTGCCAGTGCAATCAAAACCATGCATCCAGGCAAAGCTCCAGGCCTCGATAGATTCTCAGCAGGGCCCTTCCAAATTGACCCCGGCCGTTCGGGGAAATTCTACGTCGGGTGTTTGAGTACCAGCTGGACCGTGGTGTGCTCCTGGGTTCGCAGCGCCGATCGGCAGTCTCCCTGCTGTTGAAAGGGGGTGACCGTCGCCTCACAGGCAACTATCACCCGATTTCATTGATACCTGTCGAGGTGAAGGCTCTTACGCGAGCTCTGGCATATCGAGTTGGGAGGTTGTTACCCCAGCTCATTCACCCCATTCAGAATGGCATTGAAAAGGTCGCCGCATCCACGACCATGTCATCTTCCTGCGTGACCTCCTGCATAAGCGCACCTTGGATGACGTGGAGGGCTATGCCATGTTTCTCGATTTCGAGAAGGCGTACGACCGAGTGAATTGGGACTACATGTATCGAGGCGTTCAACTTAAAATGAGGGCACCAGGTATTGCCTTCTCAAATGAACGACGGATCAGTGAAGTTGGCATCTCTTCCCATGCTGCGATCATGCTTTGATCATGGCCAGGCACTTTTATGCCGCTGTCGTGACAGGTACTTCTTGGAGCCATACGGAGCGCAACTTGCTCTTCAGAGGCCCCATCACACCCACATCCAAAAGCTGGCAGACACTGGTGGAGCTCTTGGGCAGGGGCTGAAATCACTGTATAGTTCAGATGACACCTTGTCGTGCGAGGCATGGGAGATATGCCAAGGAATGCGGTGACTGACGACCATTGCGAGGAGCTGTTGATTTAACGAAGTCCTTCACAATGAACCCATAGGAGGTGCCATGCAGGTGGATTTGGTCCACAGGATGGCCCTGGACCAGCAGCACCGACGGCATCGCAGGCTGGTTAAAGTAGACCCGCCAAATGTTGGGATGCACCGTTGAAGTTTGGTGCACAGACGTGTAAGTCATCTTGTAGCACACAAATACAGGACGAGATTTCAGACGGCGAAGCGCTTTGAGAAGTGCCTGCGAGTCAAAGTCGTATCGTGTGCCAACAATGTCCATGTAGTAGAGATCCTGCAACTCGTCATGTTGCTTGGGACCCGATGTACGGTGGGCAGAGGATGGCGTAGCCACCGTGTACGAGTCGCCGAGGATGTGGACGGTTTGTCCGAGCATGCCAAGCCTAGTTGTTTCGTCCGTGACGGTGACAACTACGTCACCTCCTCTAGCTTTGTTCACTTGCACAAACTTGCTCAAAAGAGCGCTCCAGGTTGCGCCACGATTATCTCGGAACAAGC